AGCATTTCCATGGTTATGTAATGTGATGAGCTTTTCGAATATTATTCTTAGGGAGAAATACAAATTGTTAAAGTTTAAAATCCTTTTGGCTGGATTTTAAATTAGTCCAGACATTTTAGTTTCAAGATTGCACATTAAGTAATAAAAATAGTATATTTCCTTCTTGCCTGTTTCATTTTTAGATGTAATAGAAAGAAAAATAGACTTTATATTTTAAAATTCTTATGATTTCAGCAGATTTCTGCTGCTACTATTGACTATCATTTAAAATGATATTTTAGTAGTACTTCAGAAGGCAGAGCTATTCATAAAAAGAATACTTAAGTTGCAATATATCCATTTACAGAGAGTAAAACCAGTTAAATTTAATGGAACTTACTCCAAGTAGACTTATACTGAGGGTACTTGATTGACACATGCCTCAATCTTACACAGATGTAAAAGATCAGTGCTATTGAACTGCCAATATGTTGTTATTCATGTAGATGTTTAGGATACTTTTCTTGATAAAAAGATAGGGTGCAAATTCAATAAATAATAAAATAATGGGCCTGAACTGTAGTTGTGCAATAGGAATATGTTTGTAGGTATATATAGTGAATCAAACGTCATGAGTTTAATACAGATAATCCTAGAGTTACAACTGAAATGGAGCCTGCTAATCAGGCTCTATTGTAACTCCTGAGCGTTGTAAATTTGATCATCTGTTTGACTGACCAGATTTTATGATATTTTTTGCAAGTGGTTGTAAACCGAACACCAGGGTTATATACAGAACTGGCCCACGGTTTTCTATGATCCGGTTTTGCCAAAAATCAAAAGTAAATGCAAGGTCATGTGACTGTAGGACTCTGCAAATGGCTGTCAATGTGGCTCGGTTGTCAATGGTTGTGACCATAGGAAGCCATCAACCTTGGAATTTGAAATCTGGGTTGTAAGTACCCCATATCCATTGTAACTTCCAACAATCTCTGACTGGCTGTAAGTTGAAGTTCACTTCTAATGCACCATTCTAGAAGTCCACATTTAATGCACAGCACCAAAGCTGCAGTGGTTAACATGCAGTACTGCAGGCAACTTCTGCTGATCACTGGCTGATTGCAGTTTGGCAGTTCGAATTTCACCAGAGTCAAGGTTGACTTAGCCTTCCATCCTTCCAAGATCGGTAAAATGAGGACCCAGATTGTTGAGGGAAATATGCTGACTCTGTAAAGTGCTCAGAGAGGGCTGTAAAGCACTGTGAAGCAGTATATAAGTCTATATACTATTGCTATTCTTTGCAAATTGCTGCTGTGTATCACTTAAACAATTTTAGTACTTTAATTTGCAATATCCTCTATATAATTCTTTTACTTTGTATTTTTTTTTAATTTTAGGTATTCAGGGAATGAAAAAGTGGGATAAATTTTGAATAAATAAGTAAATATAGGTACATAAACATTAAATGTTTTGTTTAGTAAAGTTGCAAAAATGTACAGAAATTATGTTCCTTTAAAACTGTCTGTTTTTAAATATTTGTAAATATCTGTAAGATTTATTTTGTAATTTGCATGAATCAGTATTGAATCAGTATAATTAACCATGTAGCCTTTATATTCTGCTTTGGACCTCAGAACACTATTTTGATAGTGATTTTGCATAATTTTTATAACACACCATCTGCTAAACCTTTTTCTTGCATTAAACAGATCTGTGGAACCTATTAGTCAGATGATAATTGTTGTATAAAATAAATTATCTGATTTAAAATAATTCTTGAAACACTCTATTAAGATATGCCAACGCATAAACATTATTCTTCTGAGCTTGCATGGTTTAAGGAGATGGGTTTGTAGCTGACAAATATTAGTTGGGTGAAACATGCTGTCTCTAAGTTTGATAAAATAAATTTTAAAATGGTATAACAATATAAAAGTTATTTTTTAATATAAAAGGTTATTTTTTATTAAAAACCTGGAAAATATCTCATTTGTGGCCTGATTTGTTTTTATAAATATTTAACTTCCATTAAAACTGTTAGAGATTTGCTTGCAAAGGAAGCATTGATTCATAATATAGCCCTGACATCTCAAATATGGTATCACAAAACTGTGCCTAGGCCAGAGTGTAATCTGTGCCAAATGATTTCTAAGAAAGTGAATGGATTGATTTTCACTTGCCAATATTTATTTTTACACACGCGCACATGTGTGTGCGTGTACACACACACACACACACAAGGACACGGACATGCTGGGGGCTTGCTTTCGGATTCCAGTTTTTTCACCTTTATCTAAGATACAATCTATCCCTCACTAAACTTGAAACAACAGAATCTGGTGCTGAATTGGATTTCTCTTTTTTTTTTTTCCTACCAATTTTTCAACAGGACACATTTTTTAAATCAACAGAATACAGAGAATACAGAGGAGAAGAGGAGGGGGCAAGGAAATCATGGCTCCTCAAACTCTTTCCTTCTCTCTTTCCTTCCTTCTCAATTTTTAATTTCTTTTTCTGGTATTACTCTTCTCTCCCCCCCCCCCCCTCCGCTTCTTGTCCTCTTTGTTCTATAGAGCCAAGACCAAATTGCCTTTTCAAATGGCATTACATTGCAATTTTTTGAAACACATTTTTTTTCAAATGGCAGCACTACATTGCAATTTGATGGAATACAACTGGAAGTTCTCACAACTAGGAGTGGCTTGCTTTATACTCTCTGTGTGTAGAGGGCAAATTTTTGAATCATATTTGGCTCCTGGTGACTGCCTGGACAAGTTCATGCAGTTTTCTTGGCAGTATTTTCAGAAGGGGTTTGCCATTCCTTCCTTCTTAGGATGAGAATTTGGCTCAGGATCACCCATGGGCTTTGTGCTTATGGCAAGATAAGACATCCCCCCTCTCCTGATTTCTATCCTTTTGTTTCAACCACTAAACCAAACTGGCTGTCTGATAACATTACATAGGCAGACAGACAAACATTTTCTATAACATCGTGTTACCTTGATGTTTTGCAAAGCAAATACATATTGATAAATTACATTAGGAAAATGCAGAAATAAAGCAAATAAAACAGAGAATAGGTGCAGGTTTTACATTTCCATTCATCTAAAAAAAAAGTTTCTTCACGGTCTGGTTGAACCTTGGTGTGACTTCATTGGCAATCTGTGGAGGATTCATGGTAGCCCTATTCCCAATCTGAGTTTATTGTAATTGTCTCTGAGATAATTCACTTGAAGTATTTTGAACAAGCCTGTTGTATCTGCTTAGTTTAATATTATTTCCCCTTTTTGCTTAGTTGCCCTTGAAGAGTTACCCCCCCCCCCAGCTCTCTCTTGTTACTGCATTTTAATCATTAAGATGTTTTGTAGGTAATTCTATTTACTTCCGAATGTGTAAAGCTTTATACAGGGTTTTTAAATTAAACGAAAGGCTTGTAGTATTGAAAGAATATATAGAATCCTAGAAAGCTGCCTAAACTGGTCATCCTATCTTTACACTGTCCTTAATCACTGTCAGTGATCCACTAGAGTTTCTGGAAAGAATGTTTTTTTCTACCTGGAGATAATAGGGTTAGTAACCGATTCTATTGACAGAAAGTGACTGTTTATAACCCACTGTAGATTTCACTTTGTTAAGACAATATATGCATCATTTGACTAGTACTAGGGGTGTAATATCAAAAAAGAGAGCACTTTAAAACGGGCAGTTTTTAAAAAATGTAGGAACCCAGCTATTTGTTTTGTTATTGAACAAACTAAAAAAATAAAGCCCTAAAACAAAGTTAAAAAGCAAACAGAACAGAACAGAAAACAGAATAGAACAGCTTTATTTGGCCAAGTGTGATTAAACACAAAAGGAACTTGTCTCTGGTGCAGAAGCTCTTACAGAAACTTCAGGTGCAACTAAGGAAAGAGCATAATCTAAAAGACATCTTGCTAAGAGTCTCCACACAAGTGGAATGAGGATTATATTAAGAAATACTTAATCCCTTCGTATTTCCTTAACATTTGGAAAGAAAGGAAGAAGCTTCATGCAGATATCTTCTGAAAACAGATAATTCTGCTGTGTTGCTACATTGGTACTTGGGATTTATCAATAGTTTCAAATCTCATATTTTAGTTCTACAGATCCTGATTGCAAAGGTTGAGAACAAGCAGTTATCTAGTGGGCCGCCTCCTTTCTTGATGCTGCACAAATTGAAATTACTGGGCTATGGTATACTTTTTTTTAATCAAAGAGATATTAGTATGGCAGGTTGCTGGGCTGAAGAATATCTTTCTAACATGATTTATTGCATTGCACTTATTTTATTCCACTGAAATCAATAAAAAAACATCAGCCAAGTTTACTACTTTTTAGGTAGTTGGAAAACTAGATTTGGTTTAGATTTATAGTTTTGCAGGAGATGGTGTCAACAACAGAGTCCATGACATGAATCCTGTCCATGACAGATTTAGTTTCTGCTGTCTGCACAGTAATTAAAAAGGACCAGGTAATCACTGATAAGAAAATTTCATCTGTCTGGACTTTTGGAAGGCTGAATAGATAATTGAGCCTTATAGCCTGACCCAGGATGCAGCAGTTGCCTTGGTTTTTCTGTAAACAGTTGATTTCACTTAAATCTTGGAGGTCATCCAGACTAGTAATTCGAAGCGTAATCCAGCCATCACTGTGGCGATATAAAACATGTCTCATTAGTAATATATTGTTACAACAGTGGCTGGAATGAGGCCATAAATTATCAATCTGAAGGAGTTCATAGTTACAAGCTATATATAATTGACTTTATTACTCATTCAGCATTTTTTGCATTTTCCTAGAGACTTAAACATTTACAAATGCATTGGGTTCAGATTATAATACAATTGCAAAATATTGCCTTTAGGATTATGCTTTTTGTTCTTTGTAATTATTTTTTAAAAAGAATCTAGTATTAATATGTAAACAGAAGGCCTTTGTGCTTCAGACTGGCTGTGATATGTGCGTTTTTGTTTTTTTTCCCCTTTTGTTGTTGTCAATAGAAAAGATTGATCACTGGGCTGGTGAACGTAATAGCTGTCCCAGTCAGAAAAGGAGAGAGGAAATTAGCAGGAAGATTGGTGGAAAATGATATCTGTCAAAAGAAACACTTGGAGAGCACTGAGTTTAGTAATAGGTGACTGCCGGAAAAAAGGGAACTTTGAATTTTGCCAAGGTAAGGAACAGATTTGTAATTCAACATGCTGTTTTTGAGAAGAAAAATAATGATTTTTTTTGTCTTGTTTTTTAACTGAGTGTTTAAATCTCCTTGTTATCTTATATGTTTTCTTCTCCTTCTAAATTATTTGGTATCTAACATCATAAAGCTTTTGGATTGTTGATGGCAAACTTAAGAGAACTATAAAAGAAAATGGCCCATTTACTTTTATCTCAAATGAGTGAAATGCCCAATTGAGGGGAAGAAGACAGATATGTAATGAACATATACACTTTGCCCCTGACTGCAATTTCCTCCCCTCCAATTTTGGATTTAGACTTCAACAGTATCCATATACAATCAGACTTTCTCTCTGTGGCTTCTTTCTCTGGTTTGTTCCAGAATCCTAATTTCCAGGATTGCTAAAGAAAAATAAAGGCATAAACAGGGTTTTAACTGCACTTCCTTGTGGAAAGAGCCATCATGTATAGTCTGAGCAGTATATCTTAGCATTCTGCTGATTTGCTTTTAAGCCAAAGTATAGCTATGTGTGATATCCTGGTGCAATCAAAGTTTAAATCTGGAATGTTAGGTCCTTTCCCCAAGGGACAAAATAAAAAATGAGAGAATGCAGGAGAAAAGGTTGACCATGATTATTTAAGCTATTCTTAATTTTAAGAGCTTTGCAGTGGTGCAGTAGTTAGAATGCAGTATTGCAGACTAATTCTGCCAACTGCCAGCAGTTCAATTTTCATCTGTTCAAGATTGACTGGGCCTTCCATCCTTGCGAGGTCAGTAAAATTAGAACCTAGATTGTTAGGGGCAATATGCTGACTCTGTAAACCACTTAGAGAGGGATGTAAAGCACTGTAAAGAGATATATGTCTTATTGCTATTAATTTGAGGAAATCATTTAAGAAATAAAAAGGCTGAAAAGGGGATTAGGAACAATTGAAAAACAGTTTAAAAAGATGGTGTTACACATCTGTTCTTAGAGATAGTTCCAGTATATGGCACAGCAGTGAAGAAAGCATGAAGGCTTAAAGACTATTTTATGCTTAGTATATCAATATTAAATCCAATATGGGCCAACAAAATGAACAGGAATACTTTGAGTGGCAGGTGGCATATGTACGTGTGGGATGTTTGAGATGGCATATTTCCCTCCTTATCAAACATAGTTATTGTAGGTTTTCAATGTATATGAATGGCTCTTTAAAACTATATGTCTACCCATTTATTCACAAATAGATCCAGTTGCACTAAGGAATTGTAGACAAATTATTTTAAGGTAGCATCAACAACTGATTCCAAAGTTGGAATCATTTTATGATTTAGATATTTTTGACATTCTTGGAAATATACCTTTGAGTTATGATGAATGATTCTAAAGGAGTTGAAATGGCAACAATATTTTAAATGTATCATTTGATCTATATAGGTAGATAAAATAGAAGAGATATAAGATACATCCATTAAAAAATGCCAGTCTTGGATTTTGGAAGCAAAATTCAGATTTTTTTTTTCCTGCCTTTTAGGCTACAAAGACTCCCTTTGGCCACATCTCTGAAAAGGGGAAGGCACAAATCATTTATTTTCATGAAGTCCTACATAAAGTATATTTATTTCAATCAGACCACTTCTTACTAAATCTTCACCATCATTTCACTTTAGTTGACGAGCCTACAAATGTTTTTTATTTCTTTTCAAATGATATATGTGCGTATCTATGAACTTGCCGAATATATAAAATGTCTTGTGTCTCATTCCCTTAACCGGTGTTTGTCTGAAGTGTTGGGACTACAACTGCCAAAATTCCCAACAAGAATCTTCTCCAGCACTTATCGCTATCTTCTTTTCTCCATAAGCCTGATTCTTTGGGGAATATTGGCCTTCTGCCATCATTTGAAGCTCTATGTAAACTTTTTTTTTTGCTGGGGCACTTTAAATCCCATTTATTTCAAGGCAAAATGAAATACATCTTTATTTCTCTTTTAGTGAATCAATATGTTGGAAAATCAAGTGGTTTATCTGGATTATAGTAATAGATTTCAGAAAGTTTTGAATTGAAGGTCAAAAAAACTTTGATTTTCAAAATAAATTTTGGCCACCTTCAGATCATAGATATGACTAGAAGTCCCTGCAATCATGCCGCTAAAACTTGGTAGCAAACTGCTAGTTCCCATGGCACATTTTTCAGTTTTATTTCTCAAAGGTTAGTTCACAAAGATCCCACCATAGAAATAATAATTAGAAATAATTTAATGTTGTTGAGGGGTGTTTGCAGGGCTGCAGCAATGACCCCATGATAGACCAATCCTTTTTACCCACATAAAGCCTAGTGTTTAATTACAGAATTGAATGCACCATCTTGTATTTTCTACTCTGCCTTGCATGTGGCACAGCTGATTGTGGAAAGATTTGTATCTGACCATTTTTCTTTCTTTTTGTCACTGGGGAAGGAAGCTAGATGTATCCCCTTTCAATGGCTTTTAAGAGTTTTGTTTTGCTTCTGTTAATGATTTTTGTAGTTTATTTCTATTTTATTACAGTTTGTGGTTATATTTTTCTAAGCATACTTTAAGATTGGATAGTTTATACATCATGCTAGATGATAAATAAATTGCCTTGTATATTTCCTTCCATGATCTTGAAAAAAGTCCCAAATGTGCTTTTTTTTCCTCAAGAGGAACTGGACTTTCTGGGTTTTTTTCTTTGAAGACGTTTCACTTCTCATCCAAGAAGCTTCTTCAGCTTTGATAAAAGAAGAAGCAGCTTCTTGGATGAGAAGCTAAATGTCTTCAAAGAAAAAAACTAGAAAGTCCAGTTGCCTCTTGAGAAAAAAAAAAGTACTTTTGTGACAGCCATGACCTGGATGACTGAGAATCTCCACAGACATGATCTTAAAGTCTTTTTTTTTTTACTTTTTTTTAAAACTTAAAAAAAAGTAGAAATATTTTTTTCCTATTCTCTGGACAATGTCAGAATTTTGCAAATTGGATTCCACAAAACACTAGGGTTCTGCTAAAGGTTGATGGTCTTCTAAGTTAAAAAAAAAGCAGCTCATTGGAACACAGCCAATTTTATATCACTAGAGCAGGGGTCCTCAAACTTGACAACTTTAAGACTTCTGGACTTCAACTCCCAGAATTCCTCAGCCAGCATAGCCAGAATTCTGGGAGTTGAAGTCCCCAAGTCTTAAAGTTGCCAAGTTTGGAGACCTCTGCACTAGAGTTTTTCCCTTGATCAGTGGTTCCAGAATATTTTTTTTTAAATAAGAAGTTACACGGTCTGAAAAAGTTTGAAAACCCATAGCCATACTTCCTTCAGCCCTCAAAGGCTAAAACACAATCCTTCCCCTCCCCATCTCTAGAATGCAAAATAAGTTGCTCTGTTTTTGCAAAATCTTTAGGTTGCTTGTCCCTATCTAAAAGCATCTACTCATTAGTAGGCACTTATGAGATGGGAAATTTGGCCACTGATCTTAAACTGAACTAAAAATTTTAAGACAAATTGAGAAGTAATGCTGCCTTTGAAATCATGTCAGGAAAGAACAATGCATACGGCAGCCTTCTTCCAAGGTTTAGCTTAATGGATGTATTTCCTTTACATTTTTAAAGAAGTTGCCCTTTCAGTGGTGTGATTAAGTATCAGATTTCATCTGCTTGCTAATGAAAAACAGAGATGAAACAAGCCTGAAATATCAGTATTACTTCCTCCAGAGACCTGTAAAACGGTCAAGTAAGGTGGCCCATAGACTGTTTTATTTCTTATTTGCTATTTAGACTTTCAGTGGTGAAATAAAATAATTATACTATTATAAACTACTTGTCCACTGCAGTTCTTGGAAGGGTTTCTATTCCTATCTTTTTTTCTTTAAAAATAATAAGATAGACATTGTGTTGAGGATAGGAGAGAGCCAGCTTCACATCCCTTCCTACTCAGCAATAGAGCTCTTGCATTCTCAGCCAAGCCACCTCACAGGGATATGGCAACAAAGAGTAAAACACACATGTATGCCTGGAAAAACACAAAATGTGGACGTAATAATAAGCAATTTGGAGAATAATGAGAATTAAAATCCCAATATAGGAATTTTATTTATTATATGTGTGTGCCAGTAAGTCAGTATTGACTCCTGGTGTCTGCCTGGACTAGTCCCTGCAGTTTTATTGGCAAGATTTTCAGAAGTGGTTTGGCATTGCGTGCTTCCTAGAAACTGAGAGAGAGAATGACTGACCCAAAGTCACCCAGATGGCTTCATGCTTAAAATGGGACTAGAATTCCCGGTCTCCCAGTTTCTGGTGCTTTAATCACTACACCAAACTGGCTCTTTATTATTGTATTATAATTTACCTGAGCTTGTTCAGAGAAATATCTTTATATCAACAATAATAGTTTTTATTTCTATTTCAAATTCAAAGTTTAATTTACTTCTTACATATCACCACAGAACAATACAGGGCTAGAAGTGTAATCTATTTTGCAGAATACTTCCAGTTGTAATTAACCATGTATTTTCATAAGCAAACCTACAACAAACTATGAAACCACCTTCTGGTTAGTTTCATTTAGGTATAGAACACACATACAGCATAAGATACAGCAATTTAAAAAATAATGGAAGTCAATATTTATGACTTAGTGTGGTGTGAATGTACCTTGTTGAGGTTTCAGAACTGCCTAGACCCCTAATAAAAGGTTCTTATTCTTTATATAAGCTGCATTTATTGATTATTTAATTTCTTACTTGTTTTAATTTGTTGATGCTTATATTTGTTTAAAATTGATTTATGTTTGTTTGAACTTTTGGAATAGATATCTAACAATATTTCAAGGTATTTTGGAAAACTAATACTCAAAAGTTTCTAAGAAATTCATTATACTCATGAATTACACATCTTCTCAGAGGTAAGAATAAAATTAGTCATTATATGTGATTGATTGGTCAACAGGAATTGACTAGCTTATTGCCAGAGTCTGATGTTGGGAGTTGCCCAAGAGAGATTGACCCAAAG